ACACGGAATCACAAGAAGTAAAGGTAGAGAAATAAAAGATAAATAATGTATATTTTAAAATTTAAAAGTAAAAATAAAATAAAAAGAAATTAAAATATTGAAAATAAAAAAGTTATAAAGAAAATAAATTAAAATAAAAATAAAAAGGAAAGAAATTAAAAAGCAACTTTGTAATTATATTGTGTAATTACTATCAATTCTCACATTCCTTGAGAATTGAAGAATATAATTATACATATTTAATTACACCTAATTTTATGCTGACCAAATAATTATTTGACCGGATAAATATGTCAAACTGTATAGTTAAATTCAAATTTAATTTTTAGGTGCCTTTCCAAACACGTCAGATGCCATCTTGGACCTCTCATAACTTTTCTGTTTTAGTCATTGCGTCCGCGTGTTTCTCAGTGCAAGTAAAATAGGGGACATAAGACAGAGCATAAACAATGGAAGTCCAAGTCTCAATAGAGTTTGAACGGGTTTTGATTATTCCTTTTCAAGAAGATGAGGGTTCCACGAAAACGACATGCTAATATACTAGCTTGTAGCTAGTGCTCTATTCCCTTTGTAATTTTTGGTTTCTTACTGGGTGTTTAGATATTTGTATTTGGTCTGATTAAATTTGAATTTAAACCGAAAAGTTTCATATTAAGAAATAAAGCACTCTACAACAAAAATAACTCCACTATTATTAACCAGATTTATACATGAAAATATATAAACTTTTATAAAGGTATATCATCAATCTATATGCTACCGTCACTATGATGGCTTGTCCAATTCCGTTATTAGACTGTGAACAAAAATACTTTATGACTTATAAGAAGTGATGATTTAATTTTTCGTATATAAGCTAAGAGCCCGTTTGGTTATAAGAATTTTTTTAATTTTTTTCGAAATCATTGTTTGGCCATAAAATTTTCAATTTTCACTTGAAGATCAATTTTGGAGTCGTTCGAAAATTTGAAAAACTCCAAAAAATTATTTTTCAAAATTTTCACTCATATCACTCACAAAAATTCAAAAACAACCCAAAACTATATTCATGTCCAAACACAACTCTAATTTTCAAATATCATTTTCACTTGAATTTTTTTTTTTTTTTTTTTTTTTTTTTTTTTTTTTTGTTT